TGGTGCTTCTAGCAAAGAGTAGTTGGAGGAGCTAGTCCTTTATTTATCTGTTTTACTAGGTAGTGAGTCATGCTCTGGTCTATGTAACACGAGGAACGTTTGGATTCATGTTATTTTATTATATTCGTGTTTACTTGAGAGATGTTATTATACTCTCTAGACAATTATGTTGGATTGAGATTGTATGGAGTGATGGAATTTAGTGCTTAATATTTTATGAGATGATTGTCAGTATGTGATTTCAATCATTAGTATTATTTTGAAAAAGAATTATTTCACTGCGAGATGCATATATTTTATTGTATGGAACATGATTCTAAATGCGTGTTATGATCATGACTAGTGTATGTTGTTGTTTGTCGTGAAGTAAATGTGGTGCCCTCTTTGATATGCATGATATTTACTCTGATTATGCAATTTATTTTATGATGGATTTAGGGGGGTGTTACATTAGTGGTATCAGAGCATGGTTGGCTAGTTTGCCAGGTTATTAATATGTTTATTTCCTTTTGTATTTGATATGTGTTATATACACAGTCTGTACCGTTTGTCTGATGAGTGTTGTTGGTTGTTTGGTTGTTTGGAATCTCAGAGCGATGGTTGCATGAAGGAATGATGATGCTATTATCGAGGCATTGACATTTTTTGCTGGTGCGATTGGGAAGACTCTGAATGTGAATGCTGGAAACAAAGATGATGATGAATTTCGTGCTTTGGGGAATTTCCAGAGGAACAGTCCACCAATATTTGAAGGAGCACGTGAACCTGACAAGGCACAAGTTTGGCTGAAAGCGATTGATAATATCTTTCTGTCATGAATTGTTCGAATGTTGAGAGAGTGCAGTGTGGTACTCACATGCTTGAGAAGGAAACTGAGGATTTATGGAGTAACGTTGTTCAGAGATTTGATGAAGATGGGATTGAGGTTACTTGGGAACTTTCCAGAGATGCATTTCTGGAGAAGTATTTTCCAAAGGATGTGCGTGGGAAGAAGGAGATTGAATTTCTTGAGCTGAAGCAGGATAATGGAACTGTGGTTGAGTATGCTGCAAAGTTTAAGGAGTTGATTAAGTTTTGTCCTCATTACAATACTGCTAATGATGAGAGGTCTAAGTATCTTAAGTTTGTGAATGGTTTGAGACTTGAGATCAAGAAAGCGATGAGTTATCAACAGATTACTAGATATTCTGAGCTGGTTAACAAGAGTAGGATTTATGATGAGGATAGTCGAGATAGTGCTGCTTACTATAAGGCTTTGTATGATAAGAAGGGAAAAGTGCAATTCAGAGGAAAGCCTTATGCTAGTAAAGGGAAATAGAAAGTTAGTGATGACAAGAAGCCGAGTGAGAGAGGAGTTCCTACTATGTTTCATGTGTTGGTTGTGTGTTTTACTGTTTGTAGACTCTGAGGAATAAATTGGGATAAATCTTTGTGAAAAAGTGCAAAACAGAGTTTCAGAGGAAGTAAAAGTTCAGTTATAGGAGGCCTGACACGGGTGGCCGTGTCAGAGGGAATATCTTGAAGAAAGTGGAAAGTCAGGGGCCAACACGGGTGGTTGTGTCACTCGACACGGGCCGTGTTGCATCTCATGGAACTTTAAAAGGAAAATTGGAATTTTAAGGACCAACACGAGTGGCCGTATCGCTTGACACTGGCCGTGTTGGCCAGTGACGCTGATTTTGCGGGTTTTTGTAATTTTTCACTAAGTGTGACCCGGGGGAGCATTTTGGGAAGTTACGGTCGATACCAATGGATTTTCATTATTTAAGAGAGTTTTGACGATGAATTGAGAGAGCTTTTTGAGTGCAGACAAAGATTTTGAGGATTGAAGATTGAAGTTTATGCAATTGTTGAAAAACGGAGACCTTTCATGAGCGGAAGTAACTGAAGATCAAAGTCACCATCAATTTGTAATATTTAATTTTTATTTTGAAATTACTTTTAACAATATGAGTAGCTAAACCCCTTCAGACTATGGGGTGTCCCTGATTTGGTTCTGCAAACGACTTTGAGTTTGAATTTCTTTAATGCAATAGTTTTTCATATTCAATTTGATCATGCAATATTTTTAATAATTTCCATGTCGGACCAACAAGGATTGATTTACAGTTAACAATCAGTTGGATCGCAGTTGTTAAGGTTTTTGTACGATTAGACTATAGTAGATATCACCTAGGACTATGGATACCCTATAGTTATCGGCTAAGTCTTGATAAAACAAAGGTTTGATTTCATCATAATTCTCTAAGGACTTAAGATTTAGGATGAATGTTCAAAGATTTTCCCACTAATGACTTAGGGGAAAATAAACTAAAGATCTGGTAATTGAATATTATAAACTTGTTGAAGAAATCAAGATTCAAGGTTGTTACAGGGCAAATCACACATTTCACCCTAGCATACTCCTCATATCTGTGAAAAAGTCAATTTATATTTCTGCTTATTTTTACTTGTCGTTAAGTAAGAATTTCCAAACTAAAATCAACTTTAAGTTTTTGTTTAATTGAACCACGAATTAAATTCGGTACTTATACGCGGTCCTTGAGATCGACATTCGGAGAGTTTCCTTGTTATAACTACGGAGGAAAAATAGTACACTTGTTATTTTTCCGATTAAGCATGTTATGCACCTGTAATATATCCAGTGAATGGAGAAATTTTGTGTCATAAAATAGAGTATGTTGATTTACAGTCACCACAAATCAAAAGACAACCAGGAAGGCCAAAGAATAAGGGGGTTAAAGATGCATCAGAGAATATAAGAGATGAGATACGGCTAAAACAAGCTAACTTTGAAATCAAGTGCAGTAGGTGTCACATGATGGGATACAACAAAGCTACTTGTAAACTACCTGCACCAAGTCAGACAACTCATCATGAACCAAGTTCGTTGGCATCCACCCAGCCTGAAGCAATTGCAGTGTGATCTACATGTCTTTTATGTTTTTATATTACTATCTGTGTAACTTTTACTTTTTGTATTAGTGTCAATGAACACAGATTTTGACTTTTAGTAATAGTGTCAATGAACACAAATTTTGGCTTTGTATTAGTGTCAAGAACACATATTTTGTGCTGTTATATCAAAATATCAAAAATATGTAACAAGAATCTTAATTCTGATTATGTTAATGCAAACAACATTTTGTTTTTTTCTTACTTTGACTTTTGGTTGTGTTTTCTTTAAGTTAAACATCAAACAATATTTTAGCTCTGATAAATAATATGCAACAGGATAATGTATTTACAATTTGATTAGACTATAAAACCTAATTATTTCAATTTAGTCTTAATCTCTTATTTATTACATTGGTTTAAGTTAAGTTCCTTATCTCTCAAATATGATATTTTTGGCCCCTTACTTAATATTTGTTGTTTCATTAAGATTATTATACTGCAATATTACATATCACATTTTATAACACAAAATATTTAAAATAAAAAAAAACACCTTTATTATAGCAGAAATGATAAAACAAAGCATAACACATTGTTTCAACCCATTTCATTTAACCAACATGAAATTACATATCCATAACATAAAATTACAAATTGTTTTGAGCACAATCCTATTTAAAACTATTTAACCCTAAACTAATAATGCCAAACACCATTGCAATTTTCAGCATCCCTTTTGTATGGACAACCTCATTCTTTAATTTGAATATTTCAATTGCAACATTTCTCTTGTGTGGACAACCTCATTCTTCAACTTGAATATTTTCTTCTTTTGCTTTTCAATCTTCAAATCTCTTCCATCAACATCTTCATCACCTACCCACTTAAAAAAATTACATCCATTCTCCATTTGATTTGTGTAATTCCTATAATTCCAAAAAAAAATTCGAACATTCACATTGTTCAAATCTGTAATAGTACAAATAATACACTCTTCTTGACACCAACAATCTCTTCTCTTATTTTTATCACCACATATCCAAATGACCCAAACTTTTGGTTGTTTCATTTTGAATTGGTGTTGAAATTCATTAACATTTTGGCAAAAATTATGAAGATGATAGTTTAGATGAAGAATTTTGAAGAAATTTAGAAGAAGGATGAAGAAAGATAAATAACCCTAATCAACTTTAGAAAATGTGTGAATGCAAATATGAAGCTTATAAGATTAATATAAACCTTTGTTGAATCACTAATGAAACTTAAACCTTACTGTCATACCACATCAATTAATATTTTTTCAGTCAATTTAACAAAAGAACCATCGTTAAAAAGGCTAATTTGTAATATTTATTAGATAAGAGATTAAAATAAATTCTAAAAATAAGTTTAAAAACTTCATCACTAATTAAAAAATGTCAAACCTTTCTGCATAAGGGTTATTGCAAAAATATACTTTCATATTTTTATGGAAAAATGAAGATGTGACTGAAATTTTCTTTTGTTAAAAATAAATATTTAGAAAATTTCCTCCATCTGTTGAACATTTGTTACTAAGATAAGAAAATATGTAGAACTAAATAATTGTTTTTAATTATTCATCTTAAAAAATAATATTTTATACTCATTTGAAAAGATAGTTATCAATTATTTTTCTATTTAGTAATCAAACACAAAAAACACGGCTGGCTTAAAAGATTAAACTTCAATTTATTAAAATTTCAAAATCACTTTTATAATATGTAATGTAACAACAAATGGACTCTTAAAATTGGAATCACGAAGGCAAATCATAGAAGTCCGCAGGAAACAGGAACCCCGACGACCACAGTTAAACAAAAACAAGAGGCAGACATGAGTCATGAAAATCCTGTAATTTCTTTTTCTTATAATTCTTTCTTCCAAGGGAAAGAAATCAACCCCTCTCTCAAGGGGTAGGTAAGGAAAGATTAGTGTGGTCTTGATTTCCATCCAAACAAAAAACTGTACACTGTTTACAGTATAAAAGGGAAGAAAACACAGCAGCAAATCTACTGTGAGCATTCCTGTATTAAGATATGTGGTGTTATAATTAGCAATCGGAACAGAATTCAACTTAACCATCAATCAAGAAAGTATTTGGCCCCAACTTCTACTGATCCTGTAGCCACAGCTGCTTCAGCTATTTTAATCAACATTACAGCCTTATAGGTTGCCAAATCCGCATTTTCAGCAAGAGACTGAGCTCTTCTGCGTTTTTTAATGGCTATTTCCATGGATGCCTTTGCTGAGGCTTTAGCTTCTTCAAGCCTAAGCATTGCAGTCTCTTCCAACGCCTCTTGTTCAGCTGCAAATGCTGAAAATCAATACACAAGATGAGACAAACTTTTAACAATGCGCTCTTTGAAAATGCAACTAAACAAGATGATGAGACAGAAGGGTCTTTATTCAAGTATTTATATTGCAAGATGAGTGGTAAAAAATAGACCTTTATCCACTCTGATACCAACAAATATAAAAATAAAAACAGGTGCATCAAATTTCAACAACAATCATATCAAACATTCATCATTTTATCTGGTTGCACAAAAAAAAAGGTATAAAATTACCTCTCAGCAGACTTGGCTGGTTGCTTCTGCCAGACTGACCTGGCTGTCTCTTAAATGACCTCTTCTTTCGCAAAGGCCTGGGAATAAGTGATGCTCTCTTTGATTGATGATTCTGACAAATAACCACATCAACTAGATGAGAAGGATGCAGTAAAGTATTTTACATCAACACTACCACCTCAGTTTATTTTGCCAAAACAAAGATTGATATAGAAAGATGTGTTCAAGGGTAAATGATAGAAGCATAGGTATCAACCATACTACTCAATTGCAACAAGCCGCATCAAACAACATAAACTGAATAATTTCTGGTGTTGTGGTGCTACAGTACTGGAAATTACATCAAGTCACAGGCACAACATTCAAAATACCTCAAAAATCTTTCAACTTCAACCATAACGGCCTGAGAAACTTATTTTGGGTGAATTGGATGAATTTCACCCCTCTTTACATTTGGAGAAAAGACTTTGAAATAATAACCACTCCCTATTTATAGTCCTCACTCTGGTTCAGATGACAGTTATGATCACAGCCTGACCTACTGAACGCCAGTGTAATTCCAAGATGTTCATATTTGTTGGATTGAAAAAATATATATTCCATCATTGTGGGGTTCTCATTTCAAGTAAAATCAAACTTACGAGAAGAAACGTAACTGTCACAAAGGTGCCCAAGGGACTATAAGATGCATATTGAAAGTGAACTAAACTATGTTGCAAAAACAAAGGCTATGAAAAGCACATAAGCTTTAGCTTATAATACATGTGAAGAGAAAAAGACATTGCTATTTTACCACATGTTCTAAACCAGTAATTTTTTTATGATTTCATATTCAGATGGAAAAGACAGCCAAGAAACATTGAATTGGGACTTGGGAAAAGATAAAAAACTCTTTATAGATAATAAAACATAATTAACATGCTCCGCGCACACATTATGACAAATACACGATGGCAAATTTACCTGAAAAATCCTAATTAGCAAAGAGCGTTTTTGCTTCCGTTTCCTGATCCAATGGGTATATACAGCTTCGATAACCTCCTTGCTACCAAGATCCTGACGACTACTAACCGCAGATTTTACATCAACGGAATCATCTGGATTACAAAAATAAACCTTCTCAAAAGCATCAATGATTAACTCAAAACTATCCTCTGAAACGCATTCTTGCAACTCTAAATTGAGCTTTCTCAGCCATTCTTCATCATCAGAATCCATGTCATAATTTGCAGTTTTCCTTGCCATTGCTCTAGTTATCTCATCACCATGCACAGATATATAAGCAGCTGGTCTCTGGAAGATAAAATTGGTACTTTCAGCATAGGAAGTGACTCCATACACACCTGGTACTGGAATAAATTTAGCAACAGGACCAGGGATATTTCGATCAAAACACTGCTTATAGAGGGCTTTAAAGAGAGAGAAGTCCTGGCGGTTGGTAAACTCCAGCTTCCAACCATTATCTAATGAAAACATTGTTGCATTAGTGAACCGACTGGATGACCAAGATCGCATCACTTTTTCGGCTTTGAAGGTGTATCTTGTTAATCCATCTCTCTTTACAGTGAGAAGCCATTCTCTTGAAACAGAGGCCTCTAAAGTGACACATGCTCCATCTTCCCTGTAACACCTGTCCGACTCTACAACCAATATGTTTGCAGAACAGAGAGAAGACTCTACACTATGTGTAGAATCTACTATGGCAGAACTTGCTTTTTTCAAGCTTCCAGCAGTATTCCCATTGGTTAAACTTCTCAGCCTCATGCTGGAGGTCATACCAGACAACTGGTTATTGCGTTTTTTACCACCCACTAAATTTGAAGCTACTGCTCTATTACTTCTGCGTAAAGTCATGGTTAAAGGGCTATTAGCTTTCCTTTTCCTGAGTGAACTCCTCCTCTTCTGAATGCCTTTAGAGCCCATAACACTTCTAAACTGTCCATTACGGCTACGGGCTTGCCTGGTGCCCTTGGCAGGGGAAGGTGTGGATAAACTGTCATTGATTTCAAGAACATCCGGGATAACAGTTTCACTCTCGGAAGGTTCTCTTTCAATGGTATCTAACGAAATCTGTAGTTTATCTTTGTATTCTGGGAAATCAATTACCTCCAAATCATCCCCATCTTCACTATGTGCATTTATTGAACTATTTACAATAAAAAACGACCTATAGAAAGAATCTAAAACCATTGCAGAATGCAGATACTCAAAATAAACCGGAACAGCAGAAAAGTCTACAGAGAGCAACGGAATAAACTGTTTGATCCCAAAAAAACAGCAGATTCCAGTGCTGGCAGGAGGAGAACCCTGTATGTTTGTTAAAAAAAAATACCATGAGATCATGTAAAATTGACACTTTATGCAGTTTTTTCTCAAGTAACCATGTTGTTTTTCTTAAATTAAACAGTAACAATAAGTAAATTCGAGTTTATAAAATAAAGAAAGACATTTAAGAAAAAATATACCTGCAAAAAATTTACACCCTGGGAATCAAAGGCAGCATGAACCGATTGAGAGATAAAAAAGGCAAAAAGCTCAGGTAATGTAACTGTGACCTTGGACATGTACCTCAACGCCGAAACCAACAAAGACAAAAATCTACCATTTTTTCTAGCACAGGGCTTCACAACAATAGAAAGCACACTTCCCACGCCACTCTGAAGCGTTTCTTCTGTTTTCTTTTCATAAAGTTTCAATCTTGAAGAACGGGCAATCCTTCTCCGCTTTCTACTATACACAATACCATACATCCTGTCAACCTTAACACCATCCCCTACCGCCCTTTCGCCTCTATCCGTCTTTTTGGGCACGGGCGTTTCTTTAGATGGAAGTGGCTGCTTCGGCCAATCATCTCCTACGTTCCCTCTCTTGGTCTTCTCTTCGACTGATTGTTCTGGAAATAACCGTCTGCCGGACCGGAGAACCCGACCCGAGTCGGATCCCTTCATAACCACTCCGAATGCTCTAGTGGACCGCTTCATACCAGCCGCCGGCATTGCCGTACGATTTTTTCAGAAATTGAGTATAAGCACGAAAACCGAGGACGAAGAAAACCGGAATCGAACCGGGTTAATCTTTTCGGTTTCTCACATAGAAACAAGAGCCATCGTCACTCTGAACGACGATCGCGTCTAGTAAAAAAGAAACACACATAAAAAAAATTAAAAGAGGAATCGGATGAACAACAAGAGAGAGAAAGATTGTAAAAATCGAACCTTAAACGAAGAAAAAGACGATAAATTGAAAGCAGAGCGCAAAGAGTGAGATCGTGCGATGAAAATTGAGAGAGATTCAGTGGTGTGGCTTACTAGGGTTTATGATGAAAAAAAACTGCAGATGAGAGAGAGAGAGTGTGTGTATGTTTTAAGTTTAGTGAGTAGAGAGAGAAAGTGGAGGGAGGCGTCGGATTGAAAAGGTGGACGGTTGAGATTTGTTGAGCGCGCAATCCAAAGGGTGGGTCAAGGAAGGGTCGTTCTTAGTTCGAAAAGAAAAGAGCGTTTTTCTTGTTTCCCAAGACAGCTTAAAGAAAGAGGAGGGAGAGTGGGAGTCGATAACTGTAGGACACGTAATAGCGGCTAAAGGTAGGTTTAGCCTTTAAAAATTATATATTCCTCCACACGTTGCCTTATTCAATGGATCATGGATTTTTCTTTTAAATGCCCAATTTTAATATTTTAAATTACTTTTTAAATTATACATATTTATATTATATTCACTTATATAGATAGATTATCTAGACTTTTATGTGTATAAAAAATTTATTTATAGTTTTTTTAGGCTATGTATATAACTCGTGTGTTCATATAATATATTTATGTGATTTTTTTCGTTCAATGAGAAAATATTGATGTTAACTTGATATTATTAAAACTGTTTTTATGGAAATTTACTTAAATAAATAATTTTGGTATTTAGAATTTAGAATTTTACTAAACAATATTTAAAATTTAATGAATTAGTTTTGATAGTAAATTTTTAAATGATAATATTCAATATAATTAAATAAATACTATAAGAAAGAATGGATAAAAAAGTGAAAGGGTGGTGTCATTATTTATGCATATAGAAATTATACATTAGCATATATTCTTTTATAATAAAAAAAAAGAAGAAGATGATGATGAATAGAAATGATTAAATATATACTTAAATATTAACTAAATAAAAGAAGATAGACTATTTTTGTCAAAAATATAGATAAAATCATACATTATCATATTTGTCGTGAAAAAGACATCAACAATAAAAAGAAGATGAATGAAAAGAATCAGATATATATCCCTAATATTAATTAAATAAAAGAAGATAGACTATTATTTCCAAAAACATCATCATTTTGTTCGTAGGGACTAGATCATATTGTAGGCAACTCGAAGGGTTATCGGGGGATTATGATCTTTATTCGTAAGGGACTATGATGATTTGATCGAGGGTCTTTTGCTAAAGTATCCCCACTTTTGAGGGACATGACCAATATTTCATAAGGCAACAAGAGAGGGTACCCTAGAGGTGCAAGTGTGAAGAGTGTATTAATTCAGTTATTTTATCTTGAGATTAGAGTTTTCTAGATTGTTTTTAGTCTTGCCATACAGACCCTAATTACTATAAGTTAAATAATATGTACAGAAGAATAAAGTGCGGAATGTAAAGTCCTAAGCTATTACATGTGTTGTACCCCAAAATTTTCCCTCTCATATTTTTCCAAGATTTTCCTATTGCATAGGTGGTTACAAACCTTTGCCCAAAGACAATGAAATTTTTCAAATGATATTTCTAAGTTTCCTTTGGTTGGCCTGTTTCTAAGCTTCCTTCGATTGGCTTGTTTCTAAGTTTCCTTCGATTGGCCTGATAACGAGTTTTTTGATTGGCATCTCAAAAGTTCCTTTCGATTGGCGTCCATAAAATGCCTTTCGAGTGGCATCTCCAAAGCGCTCTTCGATTACCATCTACATAGCGTCCTTCGATTGGCATATGCAAAAGGCCTTTCGATTGGCCTCATGACAAGCCTTTCGATGGGCATTGTATCAAGGCCTTTTGATTGGCATAACAAAGGACTCTTCGTTTGATATTCAAATAAATACCCTTCGATTGGTACTTGGACAAGGACCCTTCGAAGACCCCCCCCCCCCCCAGGCCATTTGAAAGAGGCCATCAAGAGGGCACTCTAAAAATATGTCCAAGCCAGAGTCTTGCCTTGTTGGGTTACAATGCCACAAGAGTTGATTCGACCGGATACTTCTCTTCAAAAAGGCAGGAAATCAAAGCAAAGGGTAATCCAATCGAAGGAGCTTTAGTACTGAAGCTGGCACAATTCGAAGTCAGGACCATCAAAGAGAGCAAGGTTCTAATAAGGAAAGTCCTAATTAGTTCGAATTGAAGTAAGGCTGGAAAGGAAGGCATTCGAAGGAATGAAGCTGGGATTTGTTCCAAAACAAGCCAAAAAGCCCACAATCGAAAGAAGATTTTCCCATCAAAGGAAGAGTGAAACAGGCTGGCAAATAGAAGAAAACTCATTGGAATAAAACACAAAGACTTGGCCATTTTAGAAACAAAAGATGCAATATAAATAAAATCTTTTCTCACTCAACCTTTAAGATTCAGTTCAAATTTTCTAACCTAATTCATTCCACTATATATACATAACAAAACCTGATCAAAGAGGAAGAACTTTGGCCGTGTAGAACACACAAGACTACTCAGAATTTTTAACAAAAAGTGTTGATCGAGTTTTGCTCTAGAGGGAGATTCAAGGAGTTTCAAAGACTGCAATCCATTCCTAGGCGTATTTGGAAGCTTTTTAGACCACTCCCACGCATCAGTACCTCCAGGAACAATCAACACAGGTATCATGGTTGGCTCTAGTTCATGAAATTGGTTTTTTTGAAATATTTGCATGATTAATGAATTTTAAATACATATTTATGTTTGTATGATTATTTAGAACTTATCTGCATGATTAATTATATGTTTTGATGCATATTTGATTGAATACCATGGTTAGGGTTTCAAGGTTATTTTTAGGGTCTTTCGTTTCAGGCAAAATCAGGACATACGATGAGTACCATCGTGCTCACGAGACCAAACCCAATTGATCTGCATATTTGATTTGAATTTATATTGCGTAATTATGATTTTTGAGATGTGCAGGTTTGTAGCTACAGCGATGTCTGTAGGTAAAACCTTTAGGCTAAAACAACAGTCTCAATGAAGAAGGTGACTGCGTGTCAAAACCTGAGTGGCCCGTCTGAATTCTTGCGCGTTTTTATTACAACCACTGACTTTTCATCACATATAATATAGGTTGTTTGTGTATGTTAACGATTTAATGATTGGCTCAGTGGCAGAGGGAAAGATTTTCAAAGCGCGCGTGTGTAGGAGGTCAAGGGTTCAATCCCTGCCTCCTACGTGTTATTTTTCTTAATATTTCTATGCATATTCAATGCCTCCTTTCCAAGCGTGCACATCATAGGCCCCCAGATCCTCATCCTTGGGTCAATCAATGTCTGGATCTAATGCTTCCAACGAAGCTCCCCATGGTGGACACTCCTAGGACAACCATACTGAATTACACGCAACTATGGGCCAACTCGATTAGACTTTGAACAAAAATTCAGCATGCACCCTCCAATTTGGGTTTACACCCCCCGGGCTTACTCTTTTTCCCTTTTAACTTTGTTTTATTTAAATTAGTTTATTTACTTTGTTTAAATTAACTTTTCCATAAAATCATAAAAATCAACATCACAAAAAATAGGATTTAACTTTTTTCAATAAATTAATTTTTGTAAACTAATTAATTTCATCAATTTTAATTTGTTTCATTAATTAAAATTAATTAGAAAAATTAGGTCAAACTTCCCATCCTTTTCATAAAAATCCCAAAAAATATTTTCAATGATCAAATTAGGTTTTTTAGGGTTTCAAACTTATTTCAAATTTTTTATTCTCACGCATAATTATTTTTACTGTACGGTTAATTTTTACTATTGATGTAATTGCGCCCAGTTTGTAATAACTTAATTAGGGTTTTTATTTCTGCATTTTATTTTCAGTCAGTTCCTTATGTATCTACACCAAAGCCTTGTAATAACTTAGGGCCTCTATTTATTGCTTTTATGTTTTATATGCCTGTATATAAATTGCTAGCAACCTAGGCATGTATGAGTAATTAATCAATAGATCACTAAATTCAAGATAAATATCTAAAAAAAGCACACTTTTGCACACTTGCACCCCTAGGGTATTACCTCACTTGGTTGCCTTCGGAAACAATGGTCATGTCCCTCGAATGTAGGGATACTCTTAGCAAAGACCCTCAGTTTAAAGTCGTCATAAAGATCATAGTCCCTAAACGTCCCTCGAGTTGCCTACGAGAAATGATCTTATAATGATAGTCCCTTCGAAATGTTAAGGTATCCTTACATGTTATCTTCAATGACCATAAACGTCCCTTTCGATAGTCCCTCAACATCCAACAACTAGGGTTACATACTCACTAATAGTAGGATAACACGGTCTAAAGGATAGGAGGAAGAGAACAATCTTTTTTTTAAGTAGGTAGATAACTGTTAGGTACTTGCTCAAATAATCCTTTTACACACTTTCAAACCATTTTCAACAAAGTTTTCAAAATGCTTTATCACACTCTTGAGCACTGACACAAGAGTTACCATAAAGTGAATTGCCGCACTAAGGCATTTTTCAAATATTTTCAAACACACAAACACAAGCAATTTAAAAAATGAGCAAGTACCTAAGAGCCCATGGAAAACCATGGATGGAAATGGTGATAACACCTTCCCTTTCCATAATCTACCCCCCTTACTCAGAAATCTCGAAAAAAAAGTCTTTTTCTGTTCTTTTCACCCTTTACTTATTGGATAAAAGAAAAGTCGGTGGCGACTCTTGCTTATCGCGACATTTGCAAACAAAAAACACAAAACCAGTATTTAACTGTTGGTTCTGCCACTGTATCACAGAACTGACGACTCTGCTG